TAATTGGTTTTTGGAAAGTCTGGGTGTGCATACATATTATTTTAGTTATATATCATGCAGCACATCAGATAAATATTAACTATATATATTAAACCAGTTAGTAGCATATACAGCTTGATGCTATTTTTTTTATTCAGTGTTTAAATCGTACAGTGCAATTTAGGATACTTTGAAACCCAAAATGAATGTGTTGATCAAATGGGTTTGTATTTGAAGGTTGACAAGATTTCCATTCTCTTTGTAATTCATGGAAAAAGGGCTGGAAGATTTCTTGATTAAATTTATGCCCTAAGAATTAATTGATGCATTCAGAAAATGATCAAACACTATGAAAAAAACGAATCATGAGCCTCGAAGAAAATTTAGAATTCTACAAAATCAAATATAGACATGTATGTGTAATATATTGTGGGGCATAACAAACTAATGAGTGAAGATGAAACGTTAAAGTCACGTTTGCTTACTAACATAAAATAAAATGGAATGGATTAAAAAATTAAGATAAAAATAAATTAAATCATCCTTTCCCTCATGTAAGCATAATAAAATTCATTAATATATATTATAAATATGGGAATTATCACATTCTTCAAAAATCTCATAAATCATGATTCTCAACCCCATAAACTAAATTATCCATCCTTCTTATGAATGCACTCACATATTTTTATCTTTATTTGTTTTAATCCATTCCATTCTATTTATTATAGTAAGCAAAGGTGACCTAAAAAAATGTTGATATATAGATTACAATTAGAAACGGGTTGATTGTCATCTGTAAACAACATTTTTTTAGTTGAAGATATTGTGGCTTTTGTAACAGTAAATTGCGCAGAGATCAAACTTCTTAGTAGAGTAGTGATTATTTGAATAATAATATACATCAGATCACGTACCTTGACATTGTGGAAAGGACAAGACCACGGCTGGATGCAATGTCCAATGTTATGTGACAATTGTTGTGAAATGTATTTAAGAGGATTACGATAAACAATGAAAAATCAAAGCATACACTAAAATGACCAATATGGGTTAGAGGCTTCTAATGTTCTTTTCGATGCCCTAGCTTCTCAATTTTTTTTTCTTTAGATCATTGACTTTTACATAAAATAAGAGATACTTTCACATTTTGAAATTTTAAAATGATGAAGTTTTGTATTTTTTGTTACGATTTTTCAAAAATCAAAGGTGTAACTGTTATTTTTAAAAAAATTGTAAAAAATACAAAAATTCACCATTTCGAGACTTCAAAACATGAAAATATCTCTTATTTTATGTAGAAATCAATGTTCTAAAAAAAACAAAGCAAAATTTAAAGTTGAGGCATTACAAAAGACAATAGAGAAAAGCACATTGAAAGCCTTTAACCTGACCAGTATTTTCATTTTCAATCTATTGGGAAAAGTGGGCATATGAGCACTGGAAGAAAATTCAAATAAATAATAAACAACAACAACAAGCCTTTATCCCACTAGGTGGAGTCGGCTACATGGATTGCAAGACGTCATTGTGCTCTATCATTTATCAAGCTTTTAGGAATATTATTAATTAAGAGATCACGTTCAATAACTTCCAAAAGTGTTCTCTTAGGCCTTCCTCTACCTCTCTTAATCGGACTCAAAGTTATATGTTCCACTCTTCTTACTGGTGCCTCCTTTGGTCTTCTTTGTACATGCCCAAACCATCTCAATTGATTTTCTACCATTTTTTCCTCAATAGGTGCCACCCTCATTTTTTCGCGTACGTGCTCAGTTCGAATTTTATCTTTACGTGTATGTCCGCACATCCATCGTAACATTCTCATCTCTGCTACTCCAATTTTATGCTCTTGTTGTCCCGTTAGAGCCCAGAATTCACTACTATATAACATTGTCGGTCTGATAGCAGTGCGATAAAACTTTCCTTTAAGTTTATTAGGCACCTTACGGTCGCAAATAACTCCTTTAGCTTTTCTTCAATTAAACCATCCAGCTTGAATTCTATGTGAAATATCTCCACTAATTTCGCCATCATTTTGAATAATGGCTCCCAAATATCTAAACTTTTCCACTTGAGGTATAATTTGATCTCTCAATTTCACTTCCAAATTATTATCAAATAGTCCTTTACCAAATTTACAATATAAATATTCCGTCTTACTTCTACTCAGACGAAAACCTTTCGACTCCAATGTCCTCCTCCATAACTTAAGTTTGCAATTAACCTCTTCTCTTGTCTCTGCTATAAGAACTATATCATCCGCGAAGAGCATACATTTCAGAATTTCCCCTTGAATATGTTCCGTCAAAACATTTAAGATCAAGTTGAACAAATAAGGACTCAGAGATTATCCCTGATGTAGTCCAACCTTTATAGGAAAATCTTTTGTTTGACCACTAGGCGTTCTTATACTAGTTTTTACCCCCTCATACATATCTTGTATGGCTTTAATATAAGCAATCCGTACTCTCTTTTTTTCTAACGCTTTTCAAAGCACTTCTCTTGGTATACGGTCATAAGCTTTTTCCAAATCAATAAAAACCATGTGTAGATCTTTATCTTTACAACGATACTTTTCCATTAATCCCCTTAGTAGATAAATCGCCTCTGTAGTTGATCTATCTAGCATAAAACCAAACTGATTCTCAGAAATACTTATCTCCAATCTCAACCTGTGCTCAATTACTTTCTCCCACAATTTCATTGTGTGGCTCATGAGTTTAATCCCTCTATAGTTAGTACAATTCTGAATATCTCCTTTATTTTATAAATAGGAATTAATGTACTTCTCCTCCACTCATCAGGCATTTTCTTGGACTGTAAAATCACATTAAATAACTTAGTTAACCATCTCACCCCTTGTTCACCTAAACATTTTCATGCTTTGATAGATATACAATCAGGTTCGTTGGCTCTACCATTTGTCATTTTCTTAAGAGCTTCCTTTACCTCCTTATCACGTATTATTTGATATAATGACAAATTTTGTTCTCCTTCACCAGTTACTAAATCCTCCAAGTTACTAGATGAACTCTCTCCATCATTGAAAAGTTTAGAAAAGTAAGTCTTCCATCTATTTTTAATTTCATCATCTGAAACTAAAGTTCTTCCCTCTTCATCCTTAATACACCTTACCTGTTCTAGATCTCTTGATTTTCTTTCCCTACTCTTAGCAATCTTATAAATATTTCGCTCTCCTTCTTTCGTCTCAAGGCTCTTATAAAATTTTTCAAAAGTTTTAGAACGAGTTTCACCCACAGCTCTCTTAGTTTCCTTCTTAGCCATACGGTACATCTCCTAATTTTTCTCTTTGTTACACAAATGTATGGCTTGAAAATAGTTCTTCTTATACTTGATTTTGTCCTGTACACTATTATTCCACCACCAAGACTCCTTATCTCTCAGACCAGAACCTTTTGATTCTCCCAAAACTACTTTTGCAACCTCCCGTATCTTTTTAACCATATCCTCCCACATGATGTTAACATTTTCCTGAGATTCCCAAATTCCTTTATCCAAAAGATTTCGCTTGAAAATATCTTACTTCTCACCTTTTAACTGCCACCACCTAATTCTTGGTGCTACTACTTGTCGACATCTTTGGATTTTACTCATAATACACACATCAAGGACTAGGACCCTATGTTGTGTCGTTACAGCATCTCCGGGGATCACCTTGCAATTTTTACAAAGTCTTCTATCTGTGTTCCTAACCAAAAGAAAATCAATCTGTGACCTTGAGGCTCCACTTTTGTAAGTGATGAGATGCTCATCTCTCTTCTTGAAACAAGTTTTGGCAATCTTAAAATCATATGCCAATGAAAAATCAAGAAAAGTTTGTCCTTCATTGTTTAGCTCTCCAAAACCAAAACCACCATGCACCCTCGCATACTGACCAACTTCCCTCCCGACATGCCCATTAAAGTCTCCTCCAATAAAAATCTTTTCACTCTGTGGTATGTGTCGAATCAACCCCTTCAGATCCTCCTAAAATAATTCCTTAAGACTAGCTTCTGTCCTGACTTGCGGCGCATAAGCGCTAACAATATTAACAGTCTCACGTCCAATTATCATTTTTAAGGAAATAATTCTGTCTCCAATTCTGCTAACTTCTACAACGTTCTTCTTCCACTCCTTATCTATAATGATGCCTACTCCATTGCGTGCACTTACTTTTCCTGTATACCAAAGTTTGAAACCTTGAATATCCTTAGCTTCTTCTCCACGCCATTTTGCTTCTTGTAGGCAAAGGATATTGATTTTCCTTTGAATCATAACCCCTACAACCTCTACAGATTTACAATTCAATGTCCCAACATTCCAAGTACTAAATCTAATTTTGCTTTCATGGACTAACTTCTTTAGCCGCGTGCGTCCAGAATGACGCGGTAGCCCTTGCTCATTTAACACTACATCCGGGCGCCGATGCAGCGGCTCTAACTCACTTATCACTGTATTCGAGCCATGCAGCGCGTTACTTACGGGCAACGACCTAGCATTAACATTATAACGTCTATTGTCCATGTTCATGATAGATTCAACAAAGTTTTACATTGACTGTTGATGGCCTAACACAACCCTCCTCCTTTACCCGGGCTTGGAACCGGCTATAAATATAGGCGGAGTTCAAATAAATAATAAACAAATGTGAATATTTGATTATACAAAAATTTAATAATAATTTGTCATATGCAAGCTTTATCCCTTTAATATATTATATTTGGTGTGTGTACCTCAAAATATTTTTTTGTAAAAAAAAAAAAAAAGACAAACAGCTTGGGCTTTTTCAAGGAATAAAAATAATGTTCCATGTGGCCGATACCAAATATGTTGTCCTGGATTATCACGGTTGACGAGAATGCGTAAAGAAGTTGCCACTATTGACTGAGTCGCTTTACATATATGTATAATATTGCCGACAGACGAATAAACACCAAGAGCAGTTTCAAAGGCGTTTTGAAAATTTAATATTATTCTACCCATAAAATGACTTCATAGTTTCACAGTTTTGCCTTGTGAAAAACGCAAAGCAACTTCATTCTGCTATTATTGTTACTCCTTCTTCCTCCTTCTTCTCAACATCAGATCATCATCGCTATATACCTACTCGCTCCAGTCATCTTCCAAACCTGATGAGGTGAAACTTGAGTAAGCAACTTTCTCATTTTATTGACTTGTTCGTTTCAGACTTTCATTGTCATTATTCTCTGTCCCTGATATGGGTTTCTTCATTGCTTCTCTTTGCTTTGTTTGGAGAAATTGAATGCGAGAGTGATGGAGAAACCAGGAGCTGGTGGAAGGCCAAAGGCAGTTGACATATGGGAACACGTCATGGTGTTGGAAGGGAAAAAAGTGAGGTGTAAACATTGTGGATTTGAATTTGCAGCAAGTGCTAATCGCATCAAATCTCATATTCATCAAATCAAGGGTCAGGGAATTCGTCTGTGTACTGCTTTTCCTCAGCTTTGCGATACTGCTTCCAGAAAAGTCACCAACAATTTGAAAGGGAAAGAAGACCTCATTGATTCACAAGGTATGGAATAATATTATTTTAGTTTAAACAATGTATGATGGGAGATTGGTACTTAGTTATCTTGTTAGGGTATTATTAGTTTAAACAATGTATTTTAGATTGTGTCTATAAGCTTGTATATTCTAAATTGGCTGTATTTTTTAAGTCTGGCTGTCATTAAGAGGGATTAGGGCTAGGCTGGAAAGGCTTCACATTTCTTATTATTATACTTGAGCACATTTTGTTATTACTTTTGTTTTTGGGCCAAGAACATTTTATCTAACAGTCAAAAGGAATGTTGTCTTGAACCTCGTGCAGAGTTGTAAAGGCCAAGCTAGCTCTTAAGGACTTACAGTTTATAATATCTTAAATTGACAATATTTTCTCAAGTTCAATTCTCATTAACAAAGCTTAGAGTCAGACTGGAAAACCTGTATTTTTTTAATTTGAAATTTTAATTATTCTAACACAAAATTTAATAAATTGTTTTATTTTTATATGTCAATTTAAAAATTAAGATAAACCAAATAATTTCAGCCATGCTATTTTGAAATATCAACAATTTCACCCACATGTTCACTGAAAAAACAAAGAAAAATGCAGGGCCTAAACAGGGTTACTCAAAAGTCCTGGCTCATTTTTAATGGACTTACACTACAATAGTTTGGCGTAAAAGTCATTTTATGCTAAGATTACCCATTTTTAAAGGTTGGTTCTAAAAAATACGGGGCCCAATGGGTTGATGACTTGACTCATTCAAATTGTTTAGCCCATGTTAAATCTAATACTTCTGACTGTTAACAAATATTCTCACCACAAAACTATTATCAATTATGAGTGTCTATATATGTATATTTTTTTTTAAAAGGACGTCAGGTATAAATTTTATCGATAAATTCTCGTTTATAAATTTAGTTTTTAGAAGGAAAAAAAACAGAGAAAACCAGAAACTAGGACCAATACCTTATAGTACTAATTAGACTGTCTAAGAACCTATAGGCATATGAGACGCATAATATTAGTCTTGACAATAAAAAATAAATTGCAAAGATATAAAAAGAAAAAAACAGAGAGACAACTTTTCCTTTTGTCCCCTTTCACCCTCTTTTGCCAATTTGTTTGTTGGTGTCATTTTGCACTCTCTTCACCTTGGCGAAGTTCTAACCTTCTCAATGAAAAACTTTACGTTGAGGAAGATATCACTAATTAAATCCAGTAATGTTTGAATCTAACCATATTATTAGATATTAGATGTTTATCAGAGAAAAAGAAATACTCAAGAAGGCCTTCAATTCTACAAAATTCTAAATATTGTTTGATTTTTAATACCAAACCGTCAAACATTTAAGAAATTAATTTATGTTTAATATATAGCATTTAGCCTCTTCACACTACCTTCAGGGAATTATTTTAAATTTAGTGAAGGGTTCGTTTATTGAAGTTTAAACTGATTTTAATTAAATTAAACATAATAGAATAAGATAAAATGTTACTCAGATTAACTTTTCAAAATAATCACTTTCACGAAAAAATGTTTTAAGCATATTTTTATAATTAAGTTACCTAGGTTTTGGACAAAAAAAAAAGTTACTTAGATTACCTTTTTAAAATAATTACTTTCTTAACAAATGCTAAATATTCATCAATCTTATAAAGATTTTAATTTGAGTTGAGTTAAACAACCATCGCTTATTGAACATGATCATTTCTTATAGCTTAAATAAACAGGCCTTAAATCTTCCCCCCCCCCCCCAAAATAGTGATGGCTATATACAAGGATATTTCAACATCAAGCTTTCATTGATTGACATAATATGGGATCAGAAAGGTAGTATTTAAGCAATACTTTTTATTATTTGTAATATTTCTCTGCCTAAAGATCACAATATGTTTTTGTATAGTGGATTGTGATGATCAGTATATTAACTCTAAACAAGACATTAGTTTTTCATTTACTAGAGTGAGAAATGATTCATATGAACGAAGTGAGAGTTAATTTAATAGCCTAGTCACTATCAATTCAAAGCTTACAAATTTGAATTTCTGTTGTGATTTTTGAAACAAATTGACGTACAACGCATACAGATTTATCAACACTGGATAGGGCAAGAGATTATAACAAACCCAGTGAAACAATGATTGAGTGTCACATGTCCCCCAAAACAATGTGGGAAGGGATAAAGGCTCTCCAACAAACACAAATCCATCAAGAGAGGTTTCAAGTTGGCCCTTTCTCTGTTTCTCATATGGTGAATGAACGTGACTTGCAGTTGATACAATATGTTTTTGAACAATCATGGTTAGATTTATATGCATCCTTCGAGCTATATTTCTAAATAGTATTTATGTGTATTTGTTTTTTAAGCTTAAATCACTTGTCTTATATTTTATTCAGTGATGAGACAATTTTCTCCTCACCACCACGTTTATATTTGAATCAATATGAATTTACCACACTTAGACCGCAGACTTGTTTGGATTCTTTGGTGAGTATTTACTTTATTTTTATTCTATTTTTGTTTTAATTAAGCAAGGTCTTGGTGGTTATGTTAAAATGTAAATTTTTCTGTTTTCCTAGGTAATAGATGTTTTTGTTGATATCTTGACTGACACTGAAAGGAAGAAAAGTAAACTTCTGAATTGGTATCTTCCGGTGATGTTTTCGGTGATATCTTATTCCCTTTTTAATTGGATGATATATGTTTATTCTCAAGTTTAAAAAAAAAATTGACAAGTAAGTTTTTAATGGTTCTTTTGTTGTAGCATGTAGCATTCAATAGTGGTGATTTAAGTTTGTTCCTTGACTTTGTTGCACGACATAAATGGAAGAGAACTACATGCCTGACTCCATATATTTTGAGAAGGTATTAAGTTATTGTCTTCTTTTAGTTGATCTTTTATTTACCATTATATATGATTTCTGTTTTTGACTATATGTGTGTGTGTATATATAATATATATCAATATGATTTGTTTGATCGCATATTACAGATGTTTATACCTGTCCATGTTGAAAAAAATTCACATGGACATTTTTATTTATACATTATTCATGTGAAGAATCAAGTTGTTGAAATATGGGATTCTCTTCGCGATCATTTTGTGGATGAAAGTGAACGTCAACAAAGAACAAATAAACTGGTAAGTGATAAATAACTGTAATATTCATTTAATTAATACATTGATATTGATATTTTAATTCTCTATATAGAATTAATCTCGTACATGTAGTTGCTTGCTATGGAGAAACTCTTCGGGGACGTTGCGTTCGCAAAATTTCACCAGAGAATGGCAAGCAATATCTCATTACAGCCTAATGATAATGGGTGAGTTTATAATTTTTTTATTCTAAATTATAAGCTTTATTAAAACAGGTGTGCATCCTGACCATATCATATTTCTTCATTATGTAGATATGATTGTGGTATATTTGTTATTAAATATATGCAACAATCAGATAATTATGTGAGCCAAAATCCTTCATTTCAGGTATGCTGCTTGCTTGCAAACTAGTTATTGTTAATATTCTCTATAAATATCATTCACATATACCCATGCATATGACCATAGATGTGCAAACACTCTTAATCATATAAATGATATGGACAAAATGTGTAGTTTGACAGTAATAAAGAAAGATTGGATTTGGCTTTAGAGTTGCTCAAGAGTGACTTAAACCAAGAAAGAGAAATACTATATCATAAAAGCAGCAGGAAGCCATTCACAAGTTCTAGGTGAAGAAG